GCTCTTTGACATTATCAAATTAAATTATTAACATTCTTCTAATAAATTTATGAGTAGATACATTAAGAATATATTTATTATATTAATTAAATTAACTAATTAATAAGGTGCACCCTCAACCCCTTAGATTGAGTTAGAATCTCTTTTTTTTTTTTTGAACAATTTGTTAAGGCGGGTTCGAACCCACTAAGGAGGAGGGGAAGTGCACCACAATATGACAAGATGCCACTTAGTTCGAAGCTCCTGGTGCTAGAATCTCTTTTCTTTAAATGTAAACTTGTTCAAAAAAAATTAATTATTCCTCAACTTTAGAAAGTATCAAATTTTTTTTGAACTTTAACTTGTACCAAAATAGTTCCAAAATTTTGAAGATAATACCAATTTAGTCCTTAAACTTAAAGATAAATACCAGTTTAGTTCTTAAACTTTGGTTACAAATATTAATTTAATTTTTTAATTTTAATTATATATAAATTTGATATACAAATAAAAATGTCACAATGTCAAAAATATGATTGTTTGATTTTACACATCATAAATATTTAAAAAAGAACTGATTTGTGAAAATTAACGAATTATGTAATACTTCTATTAAAGGAAGTACTTTTTTGGTATTAAAAATTAAAGTTTGAAGACAATTTTGATATTTTTTGAAGTTAAAAGACAATTTTAATATAAATGTAAAAGTTGAGGGACCAAATTAATATTTTAACAAAAAAAATATATATATATATATATATAATAAATAGTTCATTGACATGAGCCTTTAATTAAAAAAAATTCCCTAATTTATTATTAATCTACTTTATTTATTGCCCTATTTGGCCCATCAAATATTCACTGGGTTGCACTTGCATAGCAACTAGTGATGACATTGGGGCCGAGCCCAGATTCTAGACACCCCGGGATGATGAACGGTGCACTAAGCAACGAAATGCTAGCGGTTTCAGTCCAATCACAATCAAGACCACAATGACAATTACCCGTCATACATGATGCAGTTCGTTCTGTTCTAATGTCGGATTGGTCCTTTCATTCAGGTTCAGAAAAGAAAAAAAAATGTCGGATTGGTCCTAAAAGTTTTTTTTTTATTAAATAAAATATAAGTTGGAATTTTTTTTGAACCGAAATAATCCTAAAACTAATATAACAAATTTTTTTTTTAACAGGACAATTGTTAGAAGTTAAAAATTTAAAGTTAGGTTAGTACTTTGTTGTTGATAAGATTCGACCATTGGTAAGAGGTGCAATCCACTGACAATCTTGTTAGGCTGCAGTGACTATCAATGGACCATAACAAAGGAATGTAACTAATATAACAATTAGGAGAATAAAATTTGTACCAAAGATATCTTAATTTAATTGATACCCATTACTTTAGAAATTTAAATTTATAGTCAAAATTAAAGATTTAAATTTTATATTACTAAATAATTAACTTTTAATATATCAAAAAAAGATAATAAAATTGGTATATATGTTTATAGATACATATTTTATAATTATTCATAAAGAAAAATTATCCAATATTAAGGATCCCCTCATCATCAATACTTAACTTTTATGTTAATATTTCACATGTAACTTTTATGTTAATATATCACATGTAAAGCTAGTGGTTGGAAGGCAAAAAGGTTGAAAGGAGCATTTTAAATTTTTTGAGCCCGAACTAGTTCTAAGATGGTTCCAAATTAAAAAATGCTGATCCTAAACCGAACCGCTATAAAGGCCCAACTAATTGGCCATGTATGTTGTAAGCCAATATGGTCCTTGAATTTATTTTGGTATATATAAATGGTGTTCTATTATACTGTCTGAATTATTTTAAATTATAAAATATTTTTTTTATATATAAATAAATTTTAAATTTTTTTAATAACATAAATATTTAGACTTTGGATTATATTAATCTCATGAATACATGTAAATCATTTGGCCTATAAATACTAAGTAAGATTCCACTTATTTTTTAAAGAATTTAAGAAGAGATTGGCATTAATTCCTTTAGAAAAGAATACAAGCCTCCAGTGGAGATAGGCATCTATTGCCTATTGGGTGTTACATAACTAAAAAAAAATTATCGTGCAATTCAAATAACACTTATTATTAAATAAAAGTGAATCCCTTTATATTAAGAATTGTTTTTTATTTAGTAATTTTTTATTTAGTAATTTTTGTTTTATAATTTAATACAATTCAGATTATAAAACTAAAAACTTGTTCCATAAACGATTTTCCTTGAGAAAATATGATACACTAAAACATATATATATATATATCAAATCAATAAAAATTTAAAAATTAACCAAATTTATTAGTTAGTTTAAAAATTGTCAATTTTGTATTGGTATAAAATAAATATCCTCTTGCTATTGTCAGCTACACCGAGGGAACCTGTTCCTCCTCAATCTCAAATTTCCTCGATTCAAAAAAAAAAAAAAAAGAGAAGAAGAAAAGATAACAAGAAAGGCCGATTAAAAAACCAAAAACAAGAAAAAGAAAAAAAGAGCAGTTATGAAACTGACAAATACTAACTCTAAGAATTAAAAATTTTAAAAAAATTATCTCTTTTGATATTGTAATAAAAAATCTATTTTTACTGGTTTGAGGAAGTTAAATAAATTAGGAAGAAAGAGCAATGGGGAAAATTTTTCTTTGTTAAAAAAACAAAAAATTTTGTTTCCAGTTAGCTTGCTTCAATGCTTATTTTATGTACATGTACCTTGAATCCTTGACTGCATCTTCCCATAAACTGACAATTTTAAAAGACAGTGGCCTTTCATATGTCTCTCTCCAACAAAAACTGAACAAAGCATTGCGAATTCTTTAGTTTGTTGTTTGGTCCCTCTCTTCTCTCATTTAAGTAGGCCCAAATTTTGTACATATGTCCCTCTGTATTCTTCTTCACCTTCTTCTGTTTCTTTTAGCTTTCTTTTTATGTCGAAGAAACATGTCAACTGTAAAGTCCTTTTCTTCTGCTCTTTTTCTCTTATACCCTTTAATCTGTTTCCATGCATTTTGATGGCAGGATTAGGGAATTAATAATGTCTACATACAGCTCTTAAGCCCTGTCCCAGAAGGGTATGTGTGTCTCCAAATCCATCAGTAATTTCCTCAAGTGTGTTGTCAACCTATTTCTAGCTGGGGCTCATGAGATCATCAGAGTTGAAGAGCCCATCCCGGAATGCCTTCCTAAAGAACGGCAATCGACATTTCTTCAAGCTCTTTAAGCAGCTAAGATTGCCATTTAGGAGCTGTACAACCTGCATGACATGTTCATATTGCATTGCAGTTCTTGTCATCACATTCACCTATATAGTGAATGAACTATGTATATACCTTAACGTAAAAATTTAGCCACTTTGGGTTAATTAGAATATATATGTACCTGACTCATTTGGGGGCGGCGAATTGAAGACTGGTTTATACACAAAGAAGCAGCCAACAGCACAAGATTCATTTGTCTAGGGTCGTAATCATCAGCAAGAGCAGGATCAATTAGCTCTCTAATGTCATTCTTCTTTAACAAAGGTTTTGCCTGGGAAATGTATAGAAATTTAGCCTTCAATCCTTAACCATCATCTACCTATTTTACACACAATTTCTGGTATATATGCAAAATTGAAAGAAGAATCATACCCACAAGACCAAGCTTTGCTGACAGTAATCCAGAGCGCGGCGTCCAGTTACTAGTTCCAGCAGCAGTACACCAAAGGCAAAAACATCCGTTTTCTCATCTACTATGCCATGCATTAAGTACTCTGGAGCCAAATAACTGCAATAATAAGGGAGCAAAGCAGTTTGAAGAATAATTCCCCCCATGATTAAACTGCAAAAAGGGTAATCTTAGGTGTACAAACCCAAATGTGCCTTCAAATTTGGATACAATATGGTGAGTCCAATGCTCCGGCAGCCATTTTGCAAGTCCAAAGTCACAAATCTGTACTGAAATGGATCAATATTTGAAGTACAAAACCAAATTCATGTCTCCCTAAACATTAGAAGGCAGAAACAGAACAAATTTGAAGGGTACCTGAGGCTCAAAGTCCTCTGTAAGAAGAATATTTGCAGCCTTAATATCTCTGTGGATAATTCTCCTCTGACAACCCTCATGAAGGTATAGTAACCCTTCGGCCGTGCCTATTGCAACCTTATACCTAATACTCCATTCCAGTTTCTCATTCGTACCTACAAAAATGTACATGTTTTGTAGTTGGAACATACTCATAGAATAGGTACCCGAATCATACATTTTCAGGAATCATGAACCAACCATAAAGAAGAGAAGCTAAACTCCCATTTGGGGACAGGTCAAGAACAAGATGCATTCCACCTTCAATCCCATATCCAATTAACTTAGCAGTATTGGGATGTTTCACATGAGCCATAATCCCCATCTCAACCAAGAAGTCTCCGATTATCTCATCCGACGAGCCCTTTGTCAGCCGCTTGACAGCCACAACCTGTCCATTTTGCAACCTCCCCTTGTAAACCTCCGCATACCCACCTTTTCCAATGAGGTTTTCTATATGAAACCGAAAGACAAATCTATCAAAAACTCAAATTTGAGATAAATTCTTAAAGGGTTTTAGAGAATCAACAACACTCACCACTGCTGAAGTTTTTGGTGGCGATTTGGAGCTCGGAAAAGCTGAAAACTTTCCTGGGAGACTTGAGGTTGCAGGGATTGGCATTCACGAGAAAATCCGGCGTCACCGCGGTGTTTTCTCTCATGCTGCTGCTCCTTCTGAAGGAAGAAGGCATTAACAAACTCCGAGGCCGAAATGTGGCAAATGATTTCTTCGATTTGCTTCTGAACAATCGAGCAAATCGTCGCCAACGACAACCGTGCTTTGTGTTCTGCTCTGTTCCTGAATCAGCAGTGAATGCTTTCAAAGAACTTGTTTCAAATTCCTCACTCCTCAAGAAATCCTCCAAGACCCCAACAGGGGAATCTGCATCCACCTTCTTCTCCATCAATCTTGTTCAAAAAACCTACAAAAAACAGAGATACACTAATCTACTAATTTACATTTGGCAAAAACAGAGAGCATTCTGATTACATATGCAATCCTAAAGAAAAATGCAAAATTCACAGAAACGTGGCTGCAAAGAATCAGAGTATAAAAGATTTAAAAACGAATAGCGTCCAACAGAAGACGAGTAAACAGAGGGAAAACAGAGTATGAAAAGCAAATTTCAGAGAAAAAATTGGACAAAAGAACGTCTTAGAAAAAGGAGAAAATTGACGTACCATGGAAGAAGTTCTGTAAGGTCTTCAGAAGAAGCTGAAACTTGTCAGAGATTCTTGCAGGAAATCAGACAGGGGACACGACAGAAGACAGAGAGAAGAGGAGATGATGAGATCAGAGACAAGAGGTGGACATGGATTCATATTTACTCAAAGCTCCCATGATGATCAGTTTATTCACTGTCTTATTATGTACTCTCATAATGTTTTTTTTTTTTTTTTCTGAGAATTAAAGAAATTTTTGAAAACCCAATTGGATTTTTTTATGAATCAAATTGGGTTTTAAAAATTTGATTCTAGATTTGAGAAATTTTTTGTTTTTGGTTTTGGATGATGAATTGAAAAAAAAAAAAAAGGAAGAAAAAAGTGAAAAAAATGTGGCGGTTTAAGTTTGAGCAGGAAATGGGCCTCTGAGATTCTTATCCGTACGTGAGAAGTTTTGATTGGTCAGAGGAGAGTTGCGGCACGTCTGATCTCCGAACACGTGGATTTTAGACACGAGGATTTATTACCCGCCATTCATCTTCTTTAAGTGGGCCGCCTCCGTTTTTTAAGGGAAAACGTATTTTTACGTTTAATTTCGACATAACTACGAAAATTCATCAAAATGTAAAATTTATGAAAATAGGAGTAGTAAATTTTGGAGAGCTATACATCAAAAAAAAAAATTTTTTTTTGAGAGAAAAAGTATTACTCTCTTTGTTAATTTTTAGTTTTATTTTTTAATTTATATATATAATTTAAATAAATATTTAATAATAATTAAAATTAAAAAATGTTATTATTATTTATATAATAAGTTAAATTTTTATTTAAAATTTATTTTTAAAAAATTATAAAATCCAACAAAAATTATTAAAAATAAACAAAAGAAATACCAATTTTCAATTTCCTACGTAATTTTTTTAATAAATTTTATTTATAATAACTTCTTACATATAATAATGGGGTGTTATCCGGTTTATAACAAAGCTTAGATTTTAAAGGGTTGAAGTTTGGAGTTTAGAGGCATTTAGTTTATCAAATTCATGATAAAGTAGATGCTTAGAACCATTTTTAAGATTTTAAGTTAGAGTATATGTGTACTTATGAAAAATAGTGAAAGGGAGTTTGATTGTCCTAATTAATGATTGTAGCAATAAGAAATTAAAGGATGAAAATGATTATAATCTACTAAATGTACAGATTAATTAATAATTTAGTTTTGAAAATAAATGAAGAAAATAAACTGACTAACGCATCTGTCCATCTCTAG